ATATATATATATATATATATATATATATATATATATGTATATATATATATATACCAGTGGTTTGGGATTTTAAAAGCCCCAACTGCAAACTGCGGCCAGCAATCTCAATGTTAGCTTTACGATCAAATCAACCGGGTTAAATTAACGCCAACTGGAGATTTGAATGCTGTCCGGTATAGAAGTACTGTTCATAAATTGCACAACTATCTCTGCCCAGTTTTCTGTTCTTTCAATGTGTACCGTCCCGTAGGATTTTCTTCATTAACCTCGATAGCATTCAATCATTCATTCATTCATAACCTCTCAGACTGCGGGTGACCATGCCTAAGATAAACCCATGTGAATTGTAACAGCTGTATTGTGGCCTCATCAGCCGACATCATGGGTGTTCATTCCCACTGTCAGCAAAGTCACTCACTCACATACACACATATGGAATTGACGTTTGCCTATTTTCGGAACGTGACAGAAGATAGGTCGCAGACTGGTGGAGCCAAACAGAGTCCGGCGGAGTGGGCAACATCCATTAACGTATAGCATGACATATGTGCAAACACCATCCAAACATATTCGGCTCGAGCGCGCGCGCGCGCCCCCGCGCGAATAAACACGTCCAAGACCGAATGGCACTTCTTCGATGACAACACATCACGCGAACGGGAGGTCAATAGCGACCTGCTGTCTGAGCTCGGCCATGTCCCTTGAGGGTCGTATCGGACTGACGACCCACATGTTTGAGCAGTGAGTAAACGAATGTGTGAAGTAGTCTGCTAGCAATCATCACCCCCGCCATCCGCATCGATATCATCATCACCATCATCATCAGGAGCAGCAGCAGCAACAAGCAGACTGGTGGTATCGGAGTGGGAGCGCTGCGTCCTCGCGCTTTCACGAAACATACGGAATATATATATATACATATATATATATTCCACACACATCTGAGTTCAAACTGTGTGCCAAACAAATCGCGGTACAATAATCTTTATAAAAAGAAAAACATTCCACGATTTGCATGTGGGCCGAACACTGCCAGGTTGCCCATGCTAAGGCAGGTGAATTTTCTTGATGAATCCACAACCGGAGCCCTTAGCTAGCGAAAGCCTGACCCGCAAGTCAGCGGGGTGGTGTGCGAAAACCGCAATCCATTGGGAATCGGTGTCCAGTTCATCGGATCATACGCTGTTTGGACGGGGTCAAACGTCCAAGGTACCCAATACACCTCGATGCCCAAACGATCCAGTGGCCGTTGCCACAACCTGAGAGGTGTGGGTGTGGTTCGTACACCTCCTCTTGGTTGGTGTGGAATCAGGGTTTTGGGCCAACTCTCCTAAGTGAACAGCCAATGGTTCACCAATCCGATCATAGGCCCGAATGTCGGCTTTTCGTCCTCTCACTTTGGTGGGAAAACACCTCCGCCCCACGGGAGCGCAGTGAGTAGGGCTTCCTCAGTAGAGGCTATTTGAGACGCTTGGTCGTATGGGAGCATTTCGTGAGGTGCAAGGGAAGAGTGACCAGCCGCAACCCTAGACACCCATCCCCACCCTACTGAGGATTTCGGAGGCACCATGTGGTTGTATGAACGATTGAAATAGTATAATGTTGTAGGTCCGTGTATTCACGTTTTCAATTTTGTTGGTGTTATATTTCTGCTTGCCTGTATTACTAAAAAAATAAGCTTGCGTTTCACTGTTAATTGGGGGTGGGGAGGTGTGTTCCTCTGTTGGATAATGTTATTGTCGTAAAGGAGATTGGTCATTATATAATCAATTCAGATTCTCCATTTAGATCATATAACAAACATTCAGGCTTATGGTACTTCCGACCGAGTCACAACCCTGGAGACTAGTGTTTCGATGAGCCATCTGTGTGATGCCCACAACAGACTTGCAAAAATGGGTTGTGCTATGTGGTGTATAAAGAAAATGACAAATGGTTTGATCGGCTGGGCGCTGATGGTCGAGTGAGTAGCATGGTTGCGTTCTACCTGTGAGTTCCCGGGTTCGATCACCAGTTGGGTCGATGGAATCGCCCTGTTGAAGTGACCGGACCGGACGAAGAAGCTTATCAGTGTCTCCTAAGTTTTCAGTTAAGGCTCGTCACTTGCTGTGCATACACGACGAAATTCTCCATATAATAACAAATAAACAGTATTTCAGTCTATATTGTGAGAGAGGAGGTGTCAAATAGTTCTTTTATAAGATAATGATGCTATTTCGAAGATATTGGTCATTTTCTAAGATCCCGAGGTTAGTTGGTGAATAAGGAAGATACTTTGATTTATGTTTCACGATCGCAGATGAAGAATACCATATTGTAAAGAAATGAGAAGATGATACAGGTCGGAATCACTTGTTTCACAATGGGTAAGAATAACACTCATAAAGTTAAAGATCTGTTGAATCTGCTAAGGCTATGCTCGAATAAAATGACAGAGTTTGCTACAGCTCCTTCAATGCCTTTTAGTTTCGGATTGTGCGTCGACCGGGAACGCACACAGCAAAAAAATTCACTCCATATGAAGGCATAGAAATAATAATTCCGATTAAAATTAACCCCGCTGGTGTGGCCTACACGTGACATGTACGTTTGTCGTGCTTGCCTGTGGCTGGATTGAGCGATTGATTGACGGATTGACAGATGCTGTCAGCTGACACGTACGCACGCACTCACGCCATGCGAACTGACTCTAATATACAATATCGAACGGCTCCAACCAATCAAATATCAGTATTAGGCTGTTCCCACGCTGATTGACTATTTGAATGCCTGTTTGACCACATTCGACCGTCATGTGACACATGATCCAGTTATTGGCCTGACTACTTACTTATTGCCCCTTTCCTCTTGTATACCGGCCCCAGGGACCGGCTACACATGTGACCTTTACGATAAACGTACTGTATAATTGACTGCATACTTATTTACTTAGTAAAACGGGACAACAAAACAACACCCGTCAAGGGCTGAGATGATAAAAGCATGAAGGCGGAGAAACAGGCAAAATTTAGTTCCACCATGCAAAATATAGCACCAATTTCCCCTTCACGACATGCTACGATTGATGTGAAGTAATTCATGGTGAAGGACGTCACTGAAGAACCTAGATTTATGCATCCCAGTTGAGTTTAGGAAGGTGTAAATACCCCCATCGGTTCGGTCAATATTTCTTGTAACCAGCAAAAATTCAGTGTAGTACGATAATATTCCCGCTAAGAAAATAGAAATGACAACAAATCCACTCCCATGTTCACTCCCTGTCAATCCCCTCTTTCAGTTTAGAGTTCTTCAATTCATACTAATCATATGATAGTATGCCGAAGCTACCCAGCTTGAATTACAAAGTGCTGAACAATAGGGGAATACAGATTTTGTGATTTACTGTTTTTTGGATCGTACAATAGTTGTGATAAAATTAATTAAAGAGGTCCGTTGGTAGCTCGGTTTTCACAGTTTTTTATCTACTTAAATTGAAAATAAAACTCTTGTCAACGAGTAAAGCTATACATTTAAAGAATTGAAACACAATCAACACTCTGTTTTCTAGCTAATTCACGTTTTTGCAATTGTTACATTGCTTTCCGCAGTGCTAGGCCGGGCCGACCTTCAAAACGGATCTCGACCGTCACATCTGATTCGGTCGCAACCAATTGTAACTCATCGTGTGACTCGTTAACAAACGGTCAATATCCATGTGGTCCGTTGGAACCATCGGCAAAGTTGCCTCGAAAACTGTATTCCGATTCGACCGGATTGAGTAGAAACACAACCATCTCTCGNTCTCTCGTAACTCTGGTTATCCGTCCGTGCCGTTCCTACCGTACACTTCGTCCCTAGCCTCATTTTGCATGGATCCTGAAACCATGGGACGACTTATGTCAGACCCGAAACCATTCTTTCATGCGATGAACAATGCTGGATCCACTTTTCTTCCTCCTGGAACAAATACCTCTGTGAATTCGGGAACACCTCGTGTGCCATTTCTTTCGGAACTCGGGGAATCGGTGTCTGCCGATAGACAAATCAGTGCTAATCCGGCTCCCTTGCAATCCAGTCGTTCCTTGGCTGGCGAAAACATGGAGTTGGGTGATTCCCGCGCTCGGATTTACGCATCATCGGTTTACTTAAACAACAGATCTTCACCTGTTTGTTCTCGTAAGTTGTTTTCGATACTTGCTCAGGCTATGTTGTAGTTCAATTCACCTTACTGTGTGGTGTTAGTTTGGAAACAAATACTCGAACAGTTGGTGCAGAGTGTTTTAAGGGGTTGAAGAGATAAAAGAAAACGCCCGACATTAGTAAACAAAAGTAACATAAAGGAGTTTATCATTGTTTTATTTTTTGGTTTCATCACCTTATAACACTGTACAATTATGATCAGACAAGGTGTGGTGATCCTGACCTACGAGATGACGCATACCACTTAGCGACACGTTACAGTTTTCGGACAACTGATCAATCAAGCTTCCCGGGTGACGTCGGCAAGGCGCGTACGCGTCACAGCTTCTGGACCACAAACAATAGGCCAATTGTACCAACCAATCAGAAATTGTGTGGCTGAGACAGAAGCTGAACAACACCAAAAATACTAGCACGCGATTGGCCGGGGCTTCGATGACCAATGAGGTTGTTTTGTACATATTATTCAATCCCCCTAATTTCTTTCAATAAACGAACTGCTATACCTGTGGGCTTTTCCTCGCTTCTCGGTTGCGTGGGATACTGTCGTACAAATACCAGTGTGATCCAATGCTTACATGGTATCTGTGATTGCTAATCCGTGATTCGTATTTCGTGATCATGCGTACTACAATTACTACAAGTATCACAATGTTTCACAAACTTTCCATCGAGACTCGGTGAGGACCTTTAGACGGACATGATCACTAGTTTTTCGTGTGATTGGTGGTCAAAAGTTATTCACAATGGTCCTGCCATAATTTTAGCAATACTATCTGAAGAGTGTGTAGTGCTGCATATGGTTGTTAGAAAGTGTTGGATCAAACTAGGAGAAGCACTTCTTCTCAAGACTAAATTATTCGACAATAATTAACAATTGAGGCAACTGAAATGGATATCTTTTTTGTTATTTCTGATCGTTGATTTTAGCCAATAAAACTACATTTGCGCACACCATCCGACGAATTACAGCATCAGACTCAGATCCGTCGACACCACCGCCGCCGCTGCAACATAAGACTTCGTCAGCTGTGTCTGCCGCACATTCCACAGATGTCGGCGAATCCCCCGGTTCCCACCCAGAACAATCCGGTTTCGGCGATTGGTTCAAATCTCATCCGTTTCTGCCATCGATCAGGCCATTCGTGAACAGCTACCACGGTCTTTTTACACCCCCGATTTATGGGAATAATCCGATGACAGTTCCGTCTATGCAATCCCCAACGAGTGGATCAAACGCCATTTCCGACTCTTGGAAACCGAACACCAGACGTATGGCAGAAATCCAGAAATCCGGATGGACGGACCTCATGTCCAGATGGAAATTACCCTTGCCTATGATGTTTCCTAAACACCCACTGGACACATCCTCGGCACCTTCAAGTAGCAATATGGATGTATTTGGGCATACACAGATCTGTTATGCCCAATCTGTAAAAGATGACCGATCCGAGGATGCTGTTCAATCAGATCATAAAAACAGAAACACCAAGATGAAATCGCCGCGGTGGGAAGCTTCAAAAGATACGACTGATCATCACCACTGTCGATCAGGTGTTCCCACATTCAGCTTGTCTGAAATCAATAAAGACAAAGGTAAAGTTACAATAGCATTGTATTGTATATGGTAAAACAAGTGGTCAATAAACATTATAATCACAGATCCAGGGGAAACTTGGTTGCATTCCAATCATAGAATCTGTCCTTTTCATTACTTGTAACAAAACCTATGTGTATCACAAGATAACTTGTAATTATATGGTTGAACACGATCGTCTATCTATCTATCTATCTATCTATCTATCTATCTATCTATCTATCTATCTATCTATCTATCTATCTATCTATCTATCTATCTATCTGTCTATCTATCTTTCTAGTGATATATCCATCCACTATCTATCTATCTATCTATCTATCTATCTATCTATCTATCTATCTATCTATCTATCTACCTATGGAGGGAATGAAATTTTCGTTGGTAACGTTACGGGAATGTATACGCAATACTATTCCATTATTTACAGGTTCGCGACCTTTAATACATTAAATGGTCCATCCCTTGCCAATCAGTCTTTGAAACAATTTGAGTGCATTTTTCTTCTGTTTCCTATCTCTTCGTTTCCTAGGCCAAAGTGCTCATCCGGACGAGTTTCGCGCCTGCTTCGACTCTATGTTTTACCAGATTCTTGAAGTGTATCATCAAATGACTCAGCTAACCAAAATGCCAGGAGTGGGACAAATGGATTCCACTTCGAAAGGGGCAGGGCATTCGTTACCTTGTGAACGGATGTCACTGCCTTTATCATCCCAGTATTCAGGAGCATCTAGCGAATTGTCAACATTATTCACTTATTCCCCGACACATTCAAACGGTGAACCGGTGCTTTCAGGAAAAGATTACGAAGATCGCCAAGAACGACAGTCAAGCTCACGCTCTTCTCCTATTCAGACAGGATGTAAGGCAGAGAAATCAATAAATTCCGGCAGTACTACTAAAACTGACTCGAACTCAAGGTCACCGGTAAGCGGTTTACATTTTTCGAGACTCTATAACTGTTTTAACTGTGCAGTTTTTTGTTACGTTTCATTCCGTTCAACTGAAAACGTTCACACCTTAAGCAAAACTAACATCTGTGTTTGGGATCAACCTTAAGTCTCTTTTTCTCCCTTTCTTTCTTAGTTTTAAAGTAATCGGCTTTCAAAAGACAACACTCAAGCGAACAAGCTTGTTTTCGTAACTTCGTTTTCAGGAATTTACAGTTGTGTGTGTTTATATCTAATGTAGAAATAATTGTGATTGGTTCATTGAGGTTAAGTGTAAAAATACAACTGTCAGGTTTAATCATAGCGAGTGGAGAAAATGGGACAGAGGGCGAAGGATCAATTCCGGAAATTTCCGACGCCCTTTTTCACTTACAGCTTGTCCCGCCGTGTTACGTCATCACAACATGACTGAGGTCATGGTTCGGATTGCCACGTTGGTTTGGTTGGGGTCAAGGTAACTGGAGTGCGACAACCAGTTTCTTCTGTTTGCACAGTGGTGGGTTCATGATTTTAATTGCTACAGCTTTTGCCGTTGCCAAGCGACGTTTCCCAACGTGCTTCGATTTGTTTTGAGACACTTTATAAATGACTTTAAATGCATCGTTGTCTGTCTGGTGTCGGCGAGGTGGGCCACAATCGCACTGGTTATTGTTTTCTTGCAACCAGTGCTAAATCAAGCCGGTTTATGTTCTCTGATCCTTTGTGAGAACTGTCCCATC